CAGGGTGAAGAGGGAAGAGGCGAGGTGAACGGAAGGAAGGTGAAGGGTGGCAACGAACGTGAAGCCGGCCGCCATAGCCGGGGAGTTGACCGGAGGCGTTGACCAGGGTTGACCGAGGGTTGATCGAGGGTTGACTGTAGCGTTGACCGAGCGTTGACCGAGCGTTGATCGAGCGTTGACCAAGCGTTGACTAAGGCGTTGACCAAGATTTTGACCAAGCTAGAGCCGGTATAATCTCGCCAAGCCTTCAGCCTATCCCTTGCCCTATGGATGAGCACACACCCTGTGGTACTTGCTGAGTCCAGTCTGTCTGTCTCTTCTTTTTGCATCGAGTCTCTTCTGTCCAGGTGATAGTACTCTGTGGATGAAGGATAGGCCTTGTTGACCAAACCCCTGCCGGACCAAGTAGGGCTAAAGACTGTGTCTGACGACTCGACTGTCCCAGAGGCCTAACCCTCCCAAGGACCGGTACAGACCGGCGGGCTGCTCGGTGTTGGCACGGTAGGCCCGAAAGGCTGAGTTGTGGGCTGCGCAACACGCAGTCTAAGTGTTGAGAGACCTGCTGATCGCGTCGTCCTGTTTGCGACGTTAAATAATTCCTGAGGAGTTACGGGGGATCTCCTTAAATGCCTCCTGATCAGCAACAGGTCTAGTAGTGACAGCCATAGTATAGGTCTAGGCTAGAGACCCTAGTTGGCAGGATCCCTGTCCGTATTCTGTGAGTCTTTGGATTGAGTCAGTAGGTTTGTTAGTCAGGGGTTAGAGGCTACGTGGTGAGGTTTGGAACCGTCAATCTGGTTGTGCACTTGTCACCATGGTGGAGACCCGTAGTGGGAAGAGCACTAGCCCCTACACCCAGGAGCAACAAGAGAAGATGGTCGCCTTAGTGAGAGAAAATAAAGAAAGGAAAGAGCTCCTGAAGCAGGCGAAGTTGAAAGTAATCGTGGAGGAGCACGCGGCGAAAATGAAGAAACTAGAGGAGGAGATGGAGGAGAAGAAAAAGGCTGCCGAGGTAGAAGCAGCAGCAGAAGCAGAGGAGGAGAGAAAACGAAGAGAAAAAGAAGGGGAGAGCAGTGGCACGAAGGATGAGGAAACGAAATTAGAGAAGAAGATTAGTGAGTGGATTGCTAATTTATCGTTGGGGGAAGATGAGGAGGTGCAGATGTATGTGCCACAGGATGAGAAGGAAGCATTAGCCAGGGCGCTAGCAACAATCGAGGACCCCCTGGAACGGCAAGAAGCAGAGGAGGAGAAAAAGTTGGCGTGGAAACTGAGGATGAAGAGGGAAAAGAAGAGAAGGAGGGAGGAAGTTAATAGGTTGACCGCGAAGGTGGCAAAGGTGAGAGACTGCAGACAAGAGGTGCAGGCGTAGACAAACATTTCTGCCAAAATGGATAAGATGTTGGGGTACTTGGAAGTGTTGAGTGAGGCTTGGCTGGAGGAGCGCCAAGCCAACTGGGGTCACGATGTGGCCCTGAGTGCCATGCGGTCAGGATTCCGGGATTTTGCGCGCGACATGGTTACCCACGTTGGGGGCGAAGTTAGGCGGTTAAGAGAGAACGTGGGAAAATTTTGTGAGGGCGCCATCGAGAGTGCCAAAGCAGTAACCGCTATTGAGAGTGAGGCCAGGCCCCGTAAAAAGCCCGTCAAGCTTAAGTTCCCAGACGCATATGGCGGGAAGAAGGAGGAGAATTTTGATAACTGGGAGGTGAGCGTCAATAGTTATGTGTATTTACAGCACATCCTGACTGAGGAACAAGTCCTCGTCGCCTTCCAATTGCATATTCCAAGATCACCCCCCTTCCGCAATTCTTCATACTCCTGAGGGAGAGATTTGCTGACCCAACGAGAGTCATGAGGGCCTCTGACAAGTTACAGACCATCCACTCACGACAGTGGAGGAGTGCACGAGCACTCAAAGGTGTCATGGACGACTTGGTAGCTGTCCCAGACCATGGGGTCACTGAGCCCCAGTTGGTCCAGTTATTTTATTGTGCCATGCCAGAGCCCTTGAGAGGGCATTTCTTTGATAAGTCTCAACAGGCCGACATCACATATGATATGCTGAGTAGAGAGGGGGTCCTGTTCGAGTCGAAGTCCATGTCAGTGTCCACTTTCTGGCACAAGGACCTGGATAAGGGGAAGAAGTGCAAGGGCCGTACCATCTCTG